ACTTTGAACATGTTTTCATGTGCCTTTTGGCCTTCCTTCTGTCTTCTTTTGGAAATATTCTATTTAGGTCCATTGCCCATTTTTTAATTGGATCATTCATCTTCCTTTTATTTAGTTGTATCAGCTGTCTGTAGATGTTGGAGATTAAACCTTTATCAGTGGTGTTATTTGCAAATATGTTCTCCCACACAGTGGGCTTTCTTGTTGTTTTGTTGATGGTTTCTTTTGCTGTAAAAAAACTTTTTATTTTGATGTAGTTCCATTTGTTTATTTTCTCTTTAGCTTCCATTGCCCTAGGGGCAGTATCAGTGAAGAAGTTCTTTTGGCATACGTCTGAGATTTTGCTGCCTGTGGATGCTTCTAGTATTTTTATGGTTTCCCGTCTGATGTTTAAGTTCCGTATCCATTTTGAGTTTATTTTTGTGTATGGTGTAAGTTGGTGATCTAGTTTCATTATTTTGCATGTGTCTGCCCAATTTTCCCAACACCATTTATTGAAGAAACTGTCTTGACTCCATTGTATATTCATGCCTCCTTTGTCAAATATTAATTGAGCATAGTGATTTGGGTTGATATCTGGGTTCTCGATTCTATTCCATTGATCTATATGTCTGTTCTTGTGCCAATACGAGGCTGTTTTGAGAACAGTGGTTTTGTAATACAGCTTGAAGTCTGGTATTGAGATCCCTCCTACTTTACCCTTCTTTTTCAGGATTGCTGTGGCTATTCGGGGTCTTTTATTGTTCCAAATGAACTTTTGGAGAGTTCTTTCTAGGTCGGTGAAATATGCCATTGGTATTTTAATGGGGAGTGCATTGAACCTATAGATTGCTTTAGGAAGTATGGACATTTTGATGATGTTGACTCTACCAATCCATGAACATGGTATGTTCTTCCATCTCGTTACATCTTCCTCTATCTCTTTTTTCAGTGTCGTATAGTTTTCTGCATATAGGTCCTTTACTTCCTTAGTTAAATTTATTCCTAGGTATCTTAATTTTTTTGGTGCAATGGTAAATGGAATTGCTTTTTTAGTCTCTGTTTCTGTAAGTTCGCTGTTGGTGTATAGAAATGCCATAGATTTCTTGATGTTAATTTTGTATCCTGCTACATTGCCAAATTCATTTATTAAGTCAGTTAGTTTTTTAATGGAGTCTTTTTTTTTTATGTACAATATCACATCATATGCAAATAAGGATAACTTTACTTCTTCTTTTCCAATTTGGATGCCTTTTATTTCCTCCTCTTGTCTAATTGCAATGGCTAGTACTTCCAGTGCTATGTCAAAGAGGAGTGGCGAGAGTGGGCATCCCTGTCTTGTTCCTGTTCTTAGAGGGAATGGTTTTAGTTTTTGCCCATTGAGTATAATGCTGGCTGTAGGTTTATCATATATAGCTTTTATTATGTTGAGGTATGATCTTTGTACTCCCACCTTGTTAAGAGTTTTTATCAGGAAAGGGTGCTGGATTTTATCAAATGCTTTTTCTGCATCAATTGATATGACTGTATGATTTTTATCTTTCAGTTTGTTTATGTGATGTATCACGTTTATTGATTTGCGGATATTGTACCATCCTTGCATTCCTGGAATAAATCCTACTTGGTCATGGTGTATGATCTTTGTGATGTTCATCTGGAGTCTATTTGCTAGAATTTTGTTGAGGATTTTGGCATCTATGTTCATGAGGGATATTGGCCTGTAATTCTCTTTCATTGAGTTATGTTTATCTGGTTTTGGTATTAGGGTGATGCTGGCTTCATAGAAGGAGTTTGGAAGTGTTCCTTCCTCTTGGATTTTTTGGAATAGTCTGAGGAGGATAGGTTTTAGTTCTTCCTTGAATGTTTGGTAAAACTCTCCTGTGAAGCCATCTGGCCCTGGGCTTTTGTTTGCTGGAAGCTTTTTGATGACTGTTTCAATTTCTTCCCAAGTCACTGGTCTATTGAGATTTTTAGATTCTTCCTGATTGAGTTTTGGAAGGTTGTATTTTTCTAGGAATATGTCCATTTCCTCCAGGTTGTTCAGTTTGTTGGAATAGAGCTGTTCGTAGTATTTTGTAACAATCCATTGTATTTCGGTGGGGTCTGTTGTTATTTCACCTCTTTCATTTCTGTTTTTGTTTATTTGGGTCCTCTCTCTTTGTTTCTTGGTTGGTTAGCCTGGCTAGGGGTCCATCTATCTTGTTTATTCTTTCAAAGAACAAGCTCTTGGTTTTGTTGATCTTATGTATTGTTTTTTTGGTCTCTATGTTGTTTATCTGTGCTCCTTTTCTAACTCTTTGAGTTGTAGAGTTAGATCATCTGTTACCCTTCTTTCTAATTTTTTGCAATAGGCTTGTAAGGATATGAACTTCCTTGTCAAAACTGCTTTTGCTGTGTCCCATAGATTTTGGATTGTTGTGTTTGTTTTTTTTTGCTCTTGGAAATTTTATTTATTCCCTGAAAAACCACTCCCTTTTGTCTTTACCTCATTTTGGAAAGGTCTTGAGGTGCTCTCACTTGGGAATATACTACTGAATGATGCACTACTCCATTCTATTTTACTGTTTTCTGAAAACATTCCCCCCAAAACCTCTATATAAAATAATACTACCAAATTACATAATTGGAAATATAGTATTCATCCCTGAAAACCAACTTATTTCCTAAAATTAAACCAGAGTCCAATAAATATATAAACATAAATATTATAAACAAAACAAACACTATTGTATTCTAAACAAAACAGCATAACCACTTGCAAAAGTAGTTTTTCACTAAATAAAGGGTGGGGCAAGAGTAGGTTTACAATTATTCCCACAGAAAATAATACAATGATTAATAAATAATAATACAATACTGTTTCACATACTCACTACTGTAAACCTACTTTTGCCACAGTCTGTACACTAGAATGCCCTAATTATTTTTGTTTTGTTTTTATATTTTTAATAAGTTTTTATTGTTCATATTATTACACATGTTCCCCCCCCACCATTGCTCTCCTCCACCAGGTTCCCACCCCACCCTCTGCCCTTTCCCCACCCCCCATTGTCCTCATCCGTAGGTGCACAGTTTATGTTCAGTCTCTTCCCACATCCCCCTCACCCCTTTTCCCCAAGGATCATCAGTTCACTCCCCTTCCATACCAATGATTCTATTATATTCAACAGTTACTATTGTTCATCAGATTTTTTTTTAATTTCCTTGGTTTTTAGATTCACTTGTTGATAGTTACATATTTGTAGTTCATAATTTTTATCTTTATTTACTCTCTCTTCTGAAAGAACCCCCTTCAGCAATTCATATAATTCTGGTTTGGTGGTGGTGAACTCCTTTAGCTTTTTTTTTATTAGTGAAACTCTTTATCTGGCCTTCGATTTTGAGTGATAGCTTTGCTGGATAGATAATCTTTGTCTGTAGGTTCTTACTATTCATCACCTTGAATATTTCTTGCCATTCCCGTCTGGCCTGCATGGTTTCTGTTGAGACGTCAGCTGACAATCGTATAGGTGCACCTTTATAAATAACTACCTTCTTTGCTCTTGCTGCTTTTAATATTCTCTCTTAGTCTTTTGCTCTTGGAATTTTAATTATGATATGTCTTGGTGTGGTCCTCTTTGGATTCCTTTTGTTTGGAGTTCTGTGTGCTTCCTGGACTTGTAAGTCTAATTCTTTCACCAGGTGGGGGAAGTTTTCTGTCACTATTTCTTTCAGTATGTTTTTGATATCTTGCTCTCTCTCATCTTCTGGGACCCCCATAGTTCTGATGTTGGTTCTCTTGAAGTTGTCCCAGAGGTTTCTTACATTATCTTCAATTTTCTGGATTCTCTTGCCTTCTGTGGAGGAGTGTCTTCTGGCTCTTTATGTTCCAAATCTTTGTCTTGATTCTTGCGATCTTCCCTTCTGTTTTTAGGACTCTGTATAATATTTTTTATTTCAGACAATGTATTCTTTATTTCTTGTTGATGCCTTATCATTTCTTGTTGACTCCTTATTAATTCTAGTTGATCTCTTTTCATATCCTCATAGGTCTTATCGATCTTTTCTAGGAAATTCTTGAAAAACCTTATAAGCGTAGATTTGAACTTTATAGCCAGTCGCTTTTTGTCCTCCATTTCTTTCGTTTATGATCTATTTCATTGTCGCATTTCGCAGTTACAGATGGGACGGGATTTCAGGGTGGAGCCTACAGCCTTGGCTTCTTTCAGCCCCGCCCTATGCGGCTCCTGAGTCTTAGGGTCCTTCAGTACTCGCTGCAAAGCGCCTCTGAGAGATAGGAGCCCTCGATTTTCACCTGCTACCAAACAGTCTATGCTTTCCCCCAATGAGCCTGGTATTGGGGTTCAGTTCAGTTGGAAGTGGAGTTGGAGGTGGCGTTCAGAGCAGACTAGAGCCCCTGTCTCCTTCCAGCCAGGGCAATCCCACGGCACAGCCAACCGTCCCTTCTCTGCGTGCAATGTGCACACTGCCGGGACCTCCTTTTGCCGCTTCCCCGGGGTTCCGCCTTACAGCCCAGCTCCCTATGGATGAGCCTGGGTCCCCGGGGTCTGGCCTAGAACTGGGGTTCAGAGCAGTCATAACTGGGGCCCAACACTGTCGGAGTTTTATCTCCTTCCCGCTAGGGAACGCCAGCCTGGCACTCGGCCTCCCTCCTCTCCGGCTCCGTCCTCTCCGTACGTTGGGCTTTTACAGCTCCTCTGCGCTTCCTTCTGGTTTTCTCCTTGCTTCTCGTTGTAGAATTTCCAGTCAGTTGACTTTCCTGTAGTTCTGAGTAATGTCCATTTTATATTTTAGTTGTATTTTATTGAAATTGTTATGTGCGGCTGCGGCTAGGTGTTTACCTGGGCACAGCCATCTTGGATCCCCCAGTGAAGCTAATTTTTAAAATTTTAAATTATTAAGATACCTGACAATATTTAAGGTTCTTCATTAAAAACTCTGAAACTAAAAAATGTTTTTAAATGAACAATATATATTTTAAAGAAAATAGTACATTTAAGTTTTCCTCTTGCCTTTCCTAGGTCACTGTGGAAAGACATTTGCTATTTTGGAAAGATTTTTGAATCACAGTCAAGAGAAAATAGCATGGTTAGTCATTGTGGATGATGATACATTAATAAGGTAAGAAGTCATTCTCATCCGAGAATAGCTTCCAAGTCTACATATATTCATATTTAGAATCTATGGTGGGTACTTCTACATCTGGCCAAGATGGAATAACAGGGACTGAATTCACTCTCACAGATGAAACAACCCAAAGGAACTAAAATATATGAAATGAGAATTTTTAAAATATGTTTTATTGATTTTTAGAGAGAGAGAAGGGGAAAGGGAGAGAAATATTGATAAGAGAGAGAAGCATGGGTTGGTTGCCTCTGGCATGCTTCCTGACTAGAATCAAACCCACAACCTGGATATGTGCTCTGACTTGGCATCGAACTATAACCTTGAAATACACAAGACAATGCTCAACCAAATGAGACACACTGGCCAAGGAAAAATGAGGATTAAAGATGAAAATCTGGGAGACCAAGGCCACTAGAGTTTGTAGGACAGAACACTGGAGAGCACAGAGCTGCACAAAAAGAGAACACAGGAGATCTCTAGAGCTACCTCTTAAGTACTGTATGTGAGGAAATTATTGGAGGCCGGGCAAAGAATCTACCAAAATGATTAGAAGGAATGGTGTCTAACACTACCATAGGCCTGACTATATACCTGTTCACACAAGCTAGCCTGAAATATTCTTGTTCCATGAGTTTCTGGGTAGAGCACTTAGAGGGTCTTCCTCTAATATTGGGAAATAGTAACCTAGAACTAAGCACTACTCCAGTCCTGCCTGACACATCTTAAAAGCAAGATCCTAAAAGACCAAACTGTTTCCAAGTAATGATCTCATATGTGAGAACAGAACTCAAGAGGATTTATAGAAGTACCAAACTATCCAGGACCTAAAAAGATTCACAATGCTTGGCATTCAATCAAAAGTTATCAGGCACACAATGCAGCAGGAAAATTCACCCATAATGAAGGAAAATTCACCCATAACAAGTTGATTAAAATTGTCCCATAAACAATACACTAGAATTAGTGGTTCTTAAGCTGTCAGCCATAAATAGTTATAACTCCATACTTTATGTTCAATAAAGGGACTTAGAAAGTATACATAAGACTGAAGTCAAACTTCTAGAGATGAAAACTACATTGTGTAAGGTGAAAACCCCCTGGATAGGATTAACAGCAAATTAGACATTACAGAAGAAAAGGTCACTAATCTTGGGGACACTGTAACCATAACTATATAAATGAAACACAAAAATAAAAATAATAATTTTAAACAAGTGAATAGAGCATCCCTGAGCTGTGGGACAATTCCAGGTGATCTTGTATATATGTGATTGGAGTCCTCTGAAGAGAAGAGGCACATAATAGATATTTAAAGAAATACTTTCCAAATTTAATGAAAATGCTAAACCCACTGATCCAAGCTCAGTGAAACCCAAGCACAGCTGTCAGCATTAAAGCTGCACATGGCCACCGCCACACTGTGTCCTTGTTGGCAGTGTCTCGTGCAGCATTTACTGTATCTATAACTGCAGCATTCATGCCACCGATCTTCAGGACAGTTACTCCACCTGCAAGTTTTTCCAGATCTTCATTTTGTGTTTTTCTTTAAATCATTATTTACCACCAATATCTAACTACTAAATGATGACTTAAGTGTGTTTTTGAGTTAAATCTTGTAATTTTTTCTTTTGAGACTCTGACATCATCTTTGATCACCATGAACTCTAATTTTTCTGAATTCATGAGGCTAATTACAATATTTAGGTCAGTCCACTTGGATGAAATTAGAAATTGGTTAGCGTTTGCCATACTGACAGTTCATGTGAAGATGTGATAGTTTCAGACTCAATTTATGATTCTCCAGCTTTAAAATATTTTGACTATGTAAATAGTTAATGTCATTAGGAAAATAAATCCAGAGGATATGCTGTAATTATTATTTTAACCTCACAAGTTGAAGGTTGAGGGTTTGAAATGATAATTTTGCAATATGCAGGAGGAAGAGAAATACTTTAATTTCTTTCCTGATCAAGAAGGAGACATACATGTGCTCCATAATGCTTTGAGTTTTACAGAGCCTATTATCAACCGAAGGTTGTGATTTTCTTAGGAACCTTTAAGTCCATAACTTAATGGTGTTGTATAGGTATCCACACACTTACTGGCCTACCCATGCAGAGCTGTTTATTAACCAATTTCCTTAAGTCTGATTCCAGATTAGCTATCTAGAATGTTTAACTTGTGTGCCAAAAACAAGATTGTTTCCAAAGAAAACATTTTTTGGCCATTCAGAAATTGTCAAAATTATGAGGCCTTGACTTCATATAAATATAAACTGATCCAAAGACTTATAGACTCTTTCAGCACTGCACTTGGAGATTTTTTTCAAACCTTAAATTTATTTTCTTCACTCTCAGACTTAGGTCTATGAGCTAGGGTATTTTTGTAAGCAGCATGAATATGGATTGAAAAGATGACCTCCTTTTCTGTATCTCTATTTTGTTTCCTTAGGATCCCACCTTTCTGCCCAAAAAGAGAAAAAACAAAATACTAGAACTCTGGTGTTTTAAATGTTGATACTGTCCTGTGAGCAGACTAAGTAATAAATAATTCAGTAATAAATAAATAATTCACTATCACATCTACCTTTTGGAGATGAGATGAATCACAGGCATGAGAAACATTTCATTTATTTAGCCAATTAAGAAAATGTAATCCAGAAGGAGAGGCAGAGCCCACTGGATGGATACAAAGGCTTCCTCTGGAGAGCCAGTTCAGTTTTGTTTGCAGCCACTTTCCCTGGGCTCCAGAGGAGGGAGGGTGGTCCAGACTGGGATTGCCTACGGAGAGTCTGTGGTTTGTGGCTTGGGAGAGAGATATGGGGAGCAGTTGCAGAAAACCCTGTACTGGGTCAACCTCTGATACCACAGTAGCCATTTTCCTGGGCAGTGCAACTCATTCTAGATAGCGGCAGCTTGGGATTATCTCAAGAATCCCATTCACTCCACCCTGCATCTTAAGTCCTGCGGAGGAGTCATTGGCATAGGCAGGAAGGAAAAATCTTGGCCAGACTCTGGGTGTCAGTGACTGGAATTGGAGCTGGGCCATTCCCCTCACTTTCCCACAAACCAGACTGGCGCTTCCTCTTCATAGGAGACCCTGTAGGAACATCCTCCTGGCCTCTGGAAGACAGCCTCTGGGCTCCAGAAGCCCCAGCCACCCCGCTACAAGACTTGGGCTCCACCCTGCCAAGGTCAGGGAAAAACCCGGGACAGACTCAGACCTGAGGATCTGGGTTGGGGATTACACCCGCCATCTTTTCTAAAGTCTAAATACCACTTCCTCCCTCACAGGAGATCCAAGACCACCCTCTTGTGCTTCTGCCTTTTAGAGACTTAAGCCCTTTCAGTGACTAAGCTTAACAGTCAGCTGAAAATGGAGGCAGATCCCAGGGTGACTTGAGATGTTTGCTGACCAGCCCTTGTGCCAACTGCTGGTAAAATTGATTTCTTGAGTGTAGCTTGGCCCTTCTCATGTTTAGCCAAGGTCAGTATTACAAGATGTGCATTACATGTAGCCACAAACACATTGTGCAGGGCCAGACATAGACAGTATCTGACATTGGCATACACCAGAGTTTCTCCAAAGAGGCCCAGAACCAAGTGGCCAGGTGTATTGGCCACTTTAGACAATATTGGAGCAGGATCCAACAAACAGCAAATCTTTTGGGAGACGTCAGTGGGCAATAAACTCTGCTGAGGCGATCTCCACTTGTTATTAAAAAAAAAAAAAAATATATATATATATATATATATATATATATATATATATATATATTACTGATTTCAGAGGGAAAGAGAGGGAGAGAGATAGAAATATCAATGATGAGAGAGAATAATTGATTGGCTGCCTCTTGTACTCGCCCCTCCCCCCCTTCCTCTCTCCTCCTACCACTGGGGATTGAATCCGATACCCAGGTTTGTGCCCAAATTGGGAATTGAGCTGTGGCATGCTGGTTCATAGGTTGATGTTCAATTACTGAGCCACACCAGCTGGGATCTTTCCTCTTTTATACATCTTTGTTTTTCTTATTACTTTCATTTTGTTAAAAAATATTTTTCTTTTTTTTTCCTTACTCTATTTATTTGCTGTTTAATTTTCCTATTCCTTTCTTCCCATTTCTCTTTTCATATATTATACTATACTATTTTTAAATTTTCATATTCTTTTTTCTTTTTTCTTTTATCTGTTTCTTTTTTCCTTTCTTATTATATTTAATTTTTTTCTTATTATCTTAATTGTTGTGCTGCTGTGAGAACAACAGCTTGTATGCTATGGTAGGGGTTGATCCTTACAGCCAGCCTGAGAGTCAATGCCACCCACAAATGAGCCAATAGCAATCAAGGCCTAATTATTTTTTTATTTTTTTATTATTTTTTCTTTTGTTTTAAATTTCTTTATTAAGGTGTTACATATGTGTCCTTATTCCCCCATTACCCTCTCCCCAATCACCCCTACTCATGCCCTTACCCCCATGTTTGTGTCCAATGGGGCTTATATGCATGCTTACAAGTCCTCTCCCCCTTACCCCCACCCTCCCCTACCTTCACTTTGAGGTTTGATGATCTGAAAGATGCTTCTCTGTCTCTGGATCTGTTTTTTGTTCATCAGTTTAAGTTGTTCATTATATTCCACAAATGAGTGAGATCATGTGATGTTTATCTTTCTCTGACTGGCTAATTTCACTTAGCTTAACGCTCTCCAGTTCCATCCATGCTGTTGCAAATGGTAAGAATTCCTTCTTTTTTTACAGCAGCGTAGTATTCCTTTGTGTTTTATTTCAGGGATTCAAGATTGGTACAGTATTTGCAAATAAATAAATGTGATACATCACATATACAAAACGAAGGATAGAGGAGAGACAAAATGGCAGTAGGATAGACGGATGTGTCTCAAGCATTGTACCAGAGCAGATAGAATGAGCAACTAGATTGAATAAGATCCATCCAGAATTGGCGAAGTAGACACAGCTGGGGAGACAATTTGCAGCTGGGAAGGGCAGAGGACACCTGGATAACGGTAAAATCAGGGATCTAGGCTGGAGAGAACTGTGAGACCTCCAAGCCCATAGGGTCAGAGAGAAACCACACGGCACCGAGACCACATTCCTTGGGACAGGTATAACATCTGACTATGGAAAGGAGGTCCACAGGATTGCTGAGGTAGGATATTCTGGGTCTGGATCCACAGTCATGAGAGACGGAGCCCAGAGGAAGCTACGCTGTGCTGAGGAGAGAGGGGCAGCAGTGACACAGCTCTTTCCAACACCATTTCTTATTTAAAACAAACAAACAAACAAACAAACAACAACAACAAAAAACCCTCAGCAAAATGGGAATAAAGGGATCATACCTCAACATAATAAAAGCCTTACAGGACAAACCTACAGACAACATTATACTCAAAGGGCAAAAACTAAAACCATTTCACGTAAGAACAGGAATGAGACAAGGATGCCCACTTCACCGCTCTTGTTTAATATAGTACTGGAAGTGGTAGCCATGTCAATTAGACAAGAAGAAATAAAAGGTATCCAATTAGAAAAGAAGATGCAAAACTGTCCTTATTCACAGATGATATGATACTGACATAGAAAACCTTAAAGACTCCATCAAAAATTATTAGACTTTATAAATGAAGTCGTCAAGGTTGCAGGATACAAAATTAATGCCAAGAAATCTATAGCATTTTTATATACCAATAATGAACTTACAGAAAGAGAGATTAAAAAGCAATTGCATTTACCATAGCACCAAAGAAATTAAGATACCTAGGAATAAACTTAACTAAGGAGATAAAATACCTGTACTTGGAAAACTGCAAGACACTGAAAAAAGAGAGAGGAAGACATAAACAGATAGAAGAACATGCCATGTTTATGGATTGGTAGAATCAACATCATAAGTAATCTATAGAGTCAACTCACTCCACATTAAAATACCTAAATCTTTCACAGATAGAGAATAAACTCTCCAAAAATTTATCTGGAATTAATAAAAACCCTGAATAGTTGTAGCACATCTGAGAAAGAAGAACAAAGTAGGAGGGATCTTAATACCATATTAGCTGTATTACAATGCTAATATTCTCAAAACTGCCCTGTACTGGCACAAGAACAGACATATAAACCAATGAAATAGAATAGAGAACCTAGAAGTCAACCCAAGGCACTATGCTCAATTAATATTTTACAAAGGAGGCAAGAGCATACAATGCATCATTTATTGAACCACCTATGTTCAATAAATGGTACTGGAAAAATTGGACAGATACATGCAAAAAAAATGAAGCTAGACTACCATTTTATACCATACACAAAAATAAATTCATAATGGATAAAGGACTTAAACATAAGATGGGAAACCTTAAAAACACTAGAGGAATCATTAGGCAAAATAATCTCAGGCCTTTGCCAAAGCAATATCTTCACCGATACAGTTCCTAGGGCAATGGAAACTAAAGAGAAAATAAACAGCTGGGACTACATCAAAATAAAAAGTCTCTATATAGCAAAAGAAACCATCAACTAAACAAGAAGAAAGCCCATTGCATAGGAGAACATATTTGCTAATGTTATCACCAATAAGGGTTTAATTTCCAACATTTACAGGAAACTCATACAACTTAACAAAAGAAAGATAAATAACACAATCAAAAAATGGGCAATTGACCAAAATAGATACTTTTAGAAAGAGGACATAAGAAAGGCCAAGAGACCTATGAAAACATGCTCAAAGTCACTAATCATTTGGGAGATGCAAATCAAAATGAGGGTAAGGTATCTTGTCACAGCTGTGAGAATGGCTGTCATCAACAAATCAACAAATGGCAAATGATGGCAAGGATGCAGAGAAAAAGGAACCCTTGTGAATGGCTGGTGGGAATGCAGACTGGTGCAGCCACTGTGGAGAACAGTATGGAGTTTTCTCAAATAACTGAAAATGGAATTCCCATTTGACCCAGTGATCCCACTTCTAGGAATATATCCAAGAAACTAGAAACACCAATCAGAAAGGATATATGCACCCCTATGTTCATAGCAGCACAATTCACCATAGCTAAGATTTGGATACAGCTTAAGTGCCCATCAGCAGATGAGAGGATTAAAAAACTGGTATATCTACGCAATGGAATACTATGCTGTGGTAAAATAGAAGGAATTCTTACCATTTGCAACAGTATGGCTGGAACAGCAGAACATTATGCTAAGTGAAATAAACCAGTCAGAGAAAGGTAAGTAATCACATGATCTCACTCATTTATGGTATTTAATGAACAACATAAACTGATGAACAAAAGCAGATCCAGAGACACATTTATCAGACCACCAAACCTCAGAGGGAAGGTAGGGGAGGATGGAGCTAAGAGGGAGAGATCAACCAAAGGACTTGTTTGCATGCATATAAGCCTAACCATTGGACATAGACACCTGGAATTGCAGGCATGGGATGGGGGAGGGGAGAGATAGTGTACAATGAGAGGAAAAGGACACATATGTAATACCTTAATCAATAGAGAGAAAAATATATAAACATCATTTACAAACCAATGTACTCAACTTTCAGATGCTTTCAACTTTTTTTTTTTATCCACCCCATATATGAATGTTTTAAGTCAGTGATAATATTTTTATGAAAAATACAGCCATCTACAATGGAAATTATTCATTTTTTCTATATAAAAAATTTTAACAAACACCCACAATCCACCTGAGTAATGAAAACGCATTTCTACCTTAAAAAATAGAAGCAAAAAATTATAGCCACCGCTGTTTTGAAGAAGCTCTCATATTTTGCTGCATGCCTAAACTTTACTCTGCAAAACTTTTAATTTTTGAGACATGTGAGAAACAAATTAGAGACTTCCAAATTGGAAATAAGTTCACAGATGATGTGGTATTGTACATAGAAAATCCTAAAGGCTCACCAAAACACTAGATCCAATGAAAGAATTCAGCAAAGTAGCAGTGTTAACATTCAGAAATCAATGGCATTTTAAAAAAAATCTATTTTATTGATTTTTTACAGAGAGGAAGAGAGAGGGACAGAGAGTTAGAAACATCGATGAGAGAGAATCATCTATCAGCTGCCTCTTGCACACCCCTTACTGGGGATGTGCCTGCAACCAAGGTATATGCCCTTGACTGGAATCGAACCTGGGACCTTTCAGTCCACAGACCAATGCTCTATTCACTGAGCCAAACCGGTTTTGGCTCAATGGCATTTTTATACACCAATAATAAACTATCAGAATAATAATCTAAGAAAACAATCCCATTGTTCCACCAAAAATATAAGAAATAAACTTAACCACGTAAGTTGGGGATATTGCAATATCAGATATCAAACTATACTATAAGACCATTTTAATCAAAACAGCCTGGTACTGGCACAAGAACAGGCATATAGATTAATAGAGCCCAGAAAATTCATGCCTTTATGGTCATTAATATTTGAGGGAATCAAGAACATACAATCTATTCTAATAAAGAGCTAATATGCTAATGAGTGTGATTCCTTAACAGGTACCGATCAGGTCATTAGCATGGTCGGAGACGGGGCAGAAGCAGGGAGGTGCCAGAGGAGATGGGACCATCCCGTGCTGGGGAGGGCAGGGGTGAGAGCTCTTAGCGCCCCCTCGTCAGTCCTTCACCACCCCAGCTCGCACTCTGAGTGCCCTGTGGCCCACCTGCCAGGCAAAGGAGCACAGCAGAGCAGACAGGAAGCTTCCACACTCCTCCAGGGCTCTGGAGATGGGGCAGAAGTGGGGAGGCACCCAGAGAAGGTGGGACCAGCCCAAGGTGACTGGAGGGACTGAGATCAGATTTTGAAGCAGCCAGAGGAGGCCAGTGGGCTTGGGGGCTGGGTCGGCATGCTGGAGCTCCACGTGGACAGGTTTGGGTATCAAGGCAGGGCTGCAGGAGGGTGGGTGGCACTGTGTGGTCAGGTAGTTCAGTTAGAGTGTCATTTAGATATACCAAAGTTGCAGATTCAATCCCCAGGGAGGGCACATACAAGAGTCAACCAACAAATGCATGAATAAGTAGGACAACAAATTGTTGGTATTTGGCTCTCTCTCTCTCTCTCTCTCTCTCTCTCTCTCTCTCTCTCTCTCTCTGTCTCTGTCTCTGTCTCTGTCTCTGTCTCTTTCTCCCCCCCTTCCCTTACCTCTCTCTCTAAAATGAATTTTAAAAATACAGCAAGTACATCTAAGGAGATGTGAGGATTAGTTCACACTCCCTGGGGAACAGGATGAGTAGAAGTGAGTTATATAGCACACTTGCTAAATATATCACCTTCTTCATAAATCAGCCACCCAACCCTGTGCTGCCAGGGGCTTATGAAAATAGGGGGTAAGGCTTGTGTTTCTCAATTTCCTGTTTTCAATAATGTACAGTGTTTAGTTCTTTTTTTCTTATAAAAAATAATTCCTTCTGTAAATCACTTGAATTTCATGTCTGAATAATTTCAGTATTGTATTCTATAATATAACCTGTGGAGATAAGAACTATACAAATATTTACTGAATTAAATAGTTATTGCTTATGTTCCCTTTGGAATCCTAGCATCTCCAGGCTCCAGCACTTGCTAAGCTGCTACGAGTCCGGTGAACCAGTGTTCCTGGGAGAGCGCTATGGCTATGGTCTGGGCACTGGCGGCTACAGCTACATCACAGGAGGAGGAGGGTAACTATGAGCAGGGCTTTTTGCTAATTCTCTCCACATTGCACGTCTGTTTCTGAATGCAGGGCTGGGTCTGTGGAGGTGCTCTGTAAATGATAGCTGGAAGTAAACATCAATTTGTTAACCATAGTAAGGAATGTTTTATATCTTGAAGAGACAATATAAAAATGTATGTCAAGGTATTTGGTAGAAATGTCCCTGTAATAATGCTTGCTTATGAGCAGCCAGTTAGTTTTGATTGCCTGTTTAAAGGGGAAAAAATTGAATATAGATTTTATTTTCAGAAAACAAGTTATCAGATTTTTAAATGATCTAGTGCTTACAAATCATATTTGGGAAAAGAGTAATTAGAAGTTTAGACTCAAACAATTAAGTGATATTTTGTATAGCATTTATAGGTTTCAAGTAACAGTTAAAATCAAAGGTTGAGAGTTGTTTTCTAAGATTTTTTTTATTGACTTTTAGAGAGAAAGGAAGAAAAAGGGAGAGAAAAATCAATGCATCAATGGGACAGTGAGACATTGATCAGCTGCCTCTCCTGCACATCCCTACTGGGGCTTGAGACTAAAACCCAAGCACATACCCTGACCAGAACCTGAACTGGCAACCACCATTGTACCTATCAAGTACTAGAAGCCTGGTGCATGGATTCATGCACATTGAAAGGAAATTAATTAAAAGAAATATTTTAGAGGCTAGGGAAGGTCAGTGGGAGGTTGGTCAGCCAGGGATAGACTGTAGGAGGGCTCCAGGACGTGTCTGGCCCATCTTATCTAGTCTTGATTGGTCAGCAACAAGCTAACCTATTGGTCAGAGCATCTGCCCCCTGGTGGTCACTGTGCATCATAGCACCTGGTTGAATGATCAAACGGACGGTTGGACACTTAGCATATTAGGCTTTTATTATATAGGACTAGAGGCCTGGTGCATGAAAATTTATACACTGGGGGAGAGGGGGATTCCCTACCCCCTCGTACAGTCTGGGAGCCCTCAGGAGCGGGAGGTGATCTGGCGATAATCACATCTCTGCTGCTGCCACTGCTAGCAGCGCAAGCCTCCGCCAGTCCTGGTTACCTGAGCCTTGGGTGGCCCTGGGTGGCTAGGCAGCTGCCATCTGAGGCTTGCCTGGGGGGCTGAAGGGTCTGGGGGACTCCAGAGGCAGGTGTGCAGAATAGCCAGGCCCATCTGGGGGTGGGGGCAGCCTTGCTACCCACCTGCTGCCCCGGTGGGGCTGAGGGTACTTGGTGTCACTATCTTGTGGCTGTGGGCACCTCCAACTTTTAGGGCGTGGTAGAAAAATTAGCATATTCCCTCCTTATTGGCTGTGGGCACCGCCAGCTTTGCAATGGTATGAGGGTCAATTAGCATATTCCCCCTTTATTAGATAGGAGAGTAATTTAAACTCATTCAATAGGAGTTTGTTGAATGACCATTATGTTTTGGGCAAAATTCTAGGCACTAGATTATAAACTTCTGAAAGGCTAGGACTTTATATTTTTGCTTTGCAGTCCCTAACATAAGTACAGTTCCTAGCCAGAACCAATTTGGCTCAGTGGATAGAGCGTCACCTGCAGACTGAAAGGTCCCAGGTTCGATTTCGGTCAAGGGCATAAACCTTGGTTGTGGGCACATCCCCAGTAGGGGGTATGCAAGAGGCAGCTAGATGGATGATTCTCTCTCATCAATGTTTCTAACTCTCTATCCCTCTCTCTTCCTCTCTGTAAAAAATCAATAAAACATATTTTACAAAAAACCAAAACAAAAAAAACAAAACAGTTCCTACTAAAGGGGCTAAAGAATCATATCCAGGTGTTCCAGTTTGGTCTATCTGATTCAGTTGTGTATGCAACATGGCCCTGGGGGTGGCTCTTTCACAGTGATAACCAAGCTTGGGCAGGAGGACTGATCTTTCTTCAGCAGTGGCATGCATCTACCTAAGTTCATGAGCAATAGGAGATAGGGGTCCTCACAGGCCTTTGAAAAGAGGTTAACAGGTAAGCCCGAGTACCGACCCTTTTATTTAAAAAAAAAGTTCAAGCTCTTTGCAGCCTTATGGTAAAGCATTTAGTTTTCTGGGTGAAGTGTTGGAGCCAGTTAAGGCATAGTACCTATTAAGCCAGAACTTCCCACTTTTGAAAGGGGCCCTAGTGTTTGTATATGGGCTTATATATTTTGTGGCACAAAGGTGTTAATACACTTTTAAGCTAGAAGTGACTTTTTGTGGGCTTTCGGCAAGCAGACTCTTTAAAAAATATCCTATATAATAAAACCTTAATATGCAAATTGACTGAACTGTGGAACTGCCAGCAGAATGACCGGTTGCTGTGATGCACATTGATTACCAGGGGTCAGATACTCAACACAAGAGCTGGCCCTAGCCCACAATCCCCGACCAGTGGTGGCGGTGAGGGATGGGGCTGGCGAATGGGCGGCACCAGGGGCCCACTGATTGCCCCACTGGGAGTCCTGCAGAAGAAGGTGACCAGTAGCAGAGGTGGGGGGCGGGACTGGTGAGTGGGCGGTGCCAGGCCTGCCAAGGTGGGTGCCAGTGGGGAGCCTCCCAATCTCCCCACCAATTGCCCCACAGATTGGCCCTGATTGTTGGCCAGGCCTAGGGACCTTTACCTGTGTATGAATTTTGTGCACCGGGCCTCTATTGTGTCTGTATATATAATTGATTTCAGAGAGGAAGGGAAAAGGAGAGATAGAAACATCAATGATGAGAGAGAATCATGCCTCCTCATGCCACCCACTAGGGATTTAGTCTGAAACCAGGGATGTTCTCTGACCTGGAATCAAATCGTGACTCCAGGTTCATAGGTTGACACTCAACCACAGAATGACACTGGCCGAGCTCTGTAAGCAGACTTTTTTGTTGTCTTCCTTACCTATTGGATTTGACTTATTTCTGAGACTGGCACTAGAGACATTTTGAAGATGGGTATTAAATTAACTACCCACATTGCCTTTCACTGTTCCAGTTAATTGGTCATTCATTCAGTCAAAAAGCCAGTGTGTGACAAGCACTGGACTGGCACTTGGGATGCCAGCTTCTAGGACACTGCTGGATTGGCCAGGCATTCACTGCTAACCCATTAAGGTGGGCAGTCAATTGAGCTTTTTTCTTGCTACTTTCTTTTCTTCCACCTCCAGTTTTTCCATCTTAAAACCTCTTCCTGTCACCACACCATCTCCCTTTTTTCCTTGAAAACATCTTAAGAGTTCCCTCCTCTCACTCTTCCACTTCCTTGGTCCCACTGCCGCTGGACCCTAATCTGACTTGGGGCCAGATTAAGCCTAGCCTTCTGCCTAAACTACCTTATTAGTGTGATCCATACAGACAAATCCATTCTAGTCTTTATCTTCTTTAATCTCTGAACAACCTCTGATAAAGATGACCATTTCTCTTACTCTCTAGAACAACTTCCTATTGTGTATTTCTATTTTTGCTCATTCCTTCTCAGTTCCTGTTATCTATTCCATAAATGTCTGTTTTCTAGTCATCTTTTCTACCCTGTTTCCCCGAAAATAAGACAGTGTCTTATATTATTTTTTTCTCCCAAAGTTGTGCTAGGTCTTATTTTCAGGGAATGTTTTATTTTCGGGGAAACATGGTAGTCTCTCTTCTCTTCTCACTCTCTCACTGATCTCACCCTCCCCCATGGCTGGGTACCGAATACACCCTAACTTCTATTCCCAGCCTGCAACTCTCTTTTGACCTCCTGATTCATGTCCACTTACCAAAGGACTTCTGCCCTGGGATGATTCAAGGCCAGATAAACTCAGCACCCCCCATACTGACCTCTTTGTTTCTGACTTGAGCCTCTGTTTCTCTGTCTTTCCAGTGGTTCTCTCTTTCCAGATAAGACATCAATGCCAGTTCCTACCCCAGAAATTTGTGAGTCAGCTTTTACCCTTCCTCTTCATTTCCTGCAGTCAACTGGATTGCTAAATCATGTGGATTTTATCTCCTAAATATCTCTTATGTCAATACTTCTCTTGGTACCTTCACAGTTCTAATCTAGGTCACCATCATCTCCTGTGTGGTGGGTTCTGCAGCACCCTCCTAGTCTCCTTTCTTCTCCAATGCTGTTTATCATTCAACATTGATAAAATTGGCAGACTCAATGTTGAATCTGTTTTCTAGTATTGCTTAGACTTTTCCAACGGTCTAGTTGAAAAACCAAACTATCCTCCCTCCCTCCCTCCCTCCCTCCCTCCTCCCTCCCTCCCTCCCTCCCTCCCTCCCTCCCTCCCTCCCTCCCTCCCTCCCTCCCTCCCTCCCTCCCTCCCTCCCTCCCTCCCTCCCTCCCTTCCTTCCTTCCTTCCTTCCTTCCTTCCTTCCTTCCTTCCTTCCTTCCTTCCTTCCACTGTAAGTCAGGATCAATTAATGGCTCATGAAACCAAAACTTTAAAATACTGAAATTTAGACTGGAATAGAATAAACTAGGAATGTTATAGTGTATCACATGTAGGTAAAGGCAAGTATTTTTTGTGAAAATTTTATTTCTTTTATACACACACACACACACACACACACACACACAAATGTTGCAATATCAAATATGTTTGTTGCCGAAACCGGTTTGGCTCAATGGATAGAGCGTTGGCTTGGGGATTGAAGGGACCCGGGTTCAACTCCAGTCAAGGGCATGTATTATACCTTGGTTGCGGGCATATCCCCAGTGGGGGATGTGCAAGAGGCAACTGATCGATGACTCTCTCTCATCGATGTTTCTAGCTCTCTGTCTCTCTCCCTTCCTCTCTGTACAAAATCAATAAAATATATTTTTTAAAAAAATGTGTTTGTTTTCTCACTGTGGTTTACAGTCAAGTAAGTTTTTGAAAATCTCTGTCTGAAACCATCCTGCTAAACTGGTCAGAGCTGAGTCAGGAGGAGGGTGTCACATTTTTGAGGTGCTTTATCTTCTTTTAAAATTTTTATTGAATTTGTTGGGGTGACACTGATAAAGTTCTACAGGTTTCATATGCATAATTCTACAACACATCATCTATATACCGTATTGTGTGTTCAAGTCAAGGTTCCATCTATCACCATTTATCCCCCCTTTACTCTCCTCCAGATCCCCCATCTGAGGAGCTTTTTCTTCAATGTGTGTTCTTGACTTTCTGGTACACCCTGCCTCCTAGGGTTTCAGTTTTTCTTATTTTTTAAATATATTTTTATTTTTAGAGAAAGAGCTGGGGAGAGGGAGAGAGAGAAAAAACATTAATAATGAGATAGAATCATTGGTTGGCTGCTTCTTACACACTCTATACTGGGGATCAAGCCTGAAACCTGGGCATGTGCCCTGACCAGGAATTGAACCAGTGACCTCTTGATTCATAGGTTGACACTCAACTTACTAAGCCACACTGGTTGGGCAATTTTCTTATTTTTAAATTAGTATATTATATTTTAAGGGAAATCACATTATTAGTCCTCCTGCCTTTCAACATCTTTTCAATAATTAAAAGTTGGCAGATAGCAGACATACCATGGTATGACTGGTGACTTTCCATTATGGGAACAACTTTATTTTGAAAGAACCCATCAGCATACTAATGAACATATGTCATTAAAGGTCCTGTGTACTTTGTTTATGTGAATAATGAATGTAGGACTGCTCTGTGCGAGAAGGCACATATAAAAATACTAATAAATATTTCACGCTTGCATTTTGTCTTCCTGTAAAGTTAATTTTTTAAAGAGTGAACCCAAATAAAAGGACTTTCTCTTCTTATTCTACTAGATTCTGGTAAAAGGGGGGAAAAGGAAGTATTTTTATTTAAATTGGGTTGACAATGAACAAGATCACAACTCTGATTAGAATAGGAGTACACTTGTGAAATGGTCCTCGAAATGGCATCAGATAGGTGGCATTTAAGGGGACTGTCTGTTTACAATCCATTGTGTCTCCTCACATCGGCCCTGTTCCCCAGCCCAGTGAGATGAGCTGGACTTTGACACAGCCGTGTATGTGTGAGGCCCAGGGCCATGGGTGGGCACTTGACTTTCTAAAAGAAAGACAATTTATGGTGAGCTTTAAACTTGCAGTTTCCCTTTTTGTAGTTCTCCTCATACAGTCACATTTCCTTATATAATCTTAAATAGCTTCTTTTTTCTCTTGTCTGGTTGTATCGTGTCTTCTGACTGGCAAGGGCAGGGAGAGCCTCTCCGCATTGTTTCGTTGCCAGCAGCTTGTTCACTTACGTAGTTAAACTGCTCTGACCTGAGCCCAGCTCAGTGTGCAGTCACCATTTTTGCATCAGTGATTATGTCCAAGCTTTGTCCTTTTTCCCTTCCTACTACCCTGATCCATTGAACTTGCGTTAGGAAGATCTTTGCAAAGGGAGCTTCATTCTCAATTGTTTGATACATCAAACTTTTATATGATGCTTACTGTGTGTGAGGCCCTATACTCAGCGGTGGGAATATATAGATAATTTTAGATATTTTTGCCTTCAAGAGTGTTGTTGCTTATTGGGAATGAAGTTGTGAACCATATTTGTCCCCTAAGCCTTATTGCTATTGGGTTATTTATTAAATGAGATGATCCATTACCACCCTTGGACCAGAAAGGAAGCCAGAAACCAATCTGTATATTTTAAAAGAGGAATTTATTTCAGGAACTTGGTACAGAGTGTTAGAAAAGGGCACAGTGGCCTTGCCTAGAGGTTGGTAACCAGAGAAAGCTATTATTGCTCCTATGGCTGGAGGATCAAAGCAAATGCCATTTTGTGGAGCCCATTTGTGTGGGTTACTATGGTTGCTGCTGTCGGTCACAATGCTGCATCTGAGCCAGACCCAGGACTTGCTCCTCGTTACTGCTGTGGGGCTGCTGCCAACGTTCTGCTGGAGCCCCAGAGACTGCAGGTGCAGAGGCCTCAGCGGGTTGTGCCTTCTTTGTAAGCCAGGACGGGCTGGTGAGGGAGTCTGGAAAGGCAGGACTCCCACCAGAAAGTACCCAAAGCATCAGACTGATTAGCCTCAAACAGTACCATCAGAGTACTGTTTGAGGCTAATCAGTCTCTGTTCCTCCCTGTTTTCTTTCTTCTCTTTCTCAAAATCATGTATGGAAGCTTCTATAGACTTAGATTTGATCTCATTGTCGGTTATTGCTTATATGAGTGAAGTACCTGCTTTTTCTGGGCCCATCTACCTACTGGGAGTGTAGATTTTGTGATTGATCGCATGAAGATTTTGGAATTAAAGGATGATGCCAGTCTGCAGTGGCATATAGAAAAAGGACATGGCATGGTATTAACAAGAAACATATAAAGAAATAAAACTACCTATTAGATAAGTGGTTTTTCTTTCATAGGAAAGCACAAAAGCCATGTCCCCCAGAATTTATATTAAATATTCAGTACTGCTGAGATCACATTTTTCCTATCAGAAATGTGGCCTTGGAATGATATTTTTTAATTCAGATTAACTAGACTGGTGCAGGAATTCGTGCACTGGTGGGGGGTGTCCCTCAGCTCAGCCTGCATCCTCTCCAATCTGGGACTCCTTGAGGGATGTCCATCTGCCCACTTAGGCCTGATACTGCTGGGCAGTCGAACATTCCTCCACAATCCAGAACTGCTGGCTCCCAACCGCTCACCTGCCTACCAGCCTGATCAGCTCTAACCACTCCCCTGCCAGCCTTATCAACGCCTAACTGCTCCCCTGCCAGCCCAATTTCCCCTAACTTCCCTCCCCTGAAAGTCTGGTTGCCAACTGCCCTCCCCTGCAGGCCTGGTCCCTCCCAACTGCTCTCCCCTGCTGGCCATCTTGTGTTCACATAGGGGCAGCCATCTTTAACCACACGGGGGTGGCCATCTTGTGTGTTGGGGTAACAGTCAATTTGCATATTACTCTTTTATTATATAGGATGGTTACAGGGGCAGTTGTAACTCTTATGTCTGCTCTGATTTCCCACTAGAATGGTCTTCAGCAGAGAAGCCATCAGGAGACTTCTTGCCAGTAAGTGTCGTTGCTACAGCAATGATGCTCCTGATGACATGGTCCTGGGGATGTGTTTCAGCAGTCTGGGAATCCCTGTGACACACAGCCCTCTCTTCCACCAGGTGAGGAAATGTTTTTTATTTCTACCTCAGAAGGATTTCTTCTAACTGGAAAATTCTCCTCATTGCTTTTCACATGTTTTTCTGGAAACTGTCTTAAGAACCACATGGACAGGCTCTGCAGGCATTCTTACTGACCACTTTGTCCAGGGGGTTGATGCTGTACCATGGACGCATGTAGATGGAAGGCAGAACAACGTAGAAAATGAAATGGAGTTTGATAAGGACTCTTGGCTGTAACAACAGGGAAAATTTGCTCTTTTTCCTCTTTATTTTACTTATTTATTTTATTTTTTTAGATAAAGAGTTGATGGTAGCCAAAGCCGGTTTGGCTCCGTGGTAGAGCGTCGGTCTGCAGACTGAAAGGTCCCAGGTTTGATTCCAGTCAAGGGCGTGTACATTGGTTGCGGGCACATCCCAGTGGGGGATGTGCAAGAGGCAGCTGGTCGATGTTTCTCTCTCATCGGCGTTTCTAGCTCTCTATCTCTCTCCCTTCCTCCTCTCTGTGAAATAAATATCAATAAAATATATAGGAAAAAAATTATTTTTAAAAAAAAGAGTTGATGGTATTTAAGAATTATTAGAAATATACAGGCTTGACCTAACATTGTCTTGCAGGCCATCAAATGTATGTAATTTTATAATGTCATCCATTTTATGCTGTCCATTGGCTACCTTTTTATTGGGCTTTACCCCCTTTGGTTGCTATTAAACTGAGTGGCTAAACTTTGTAAATATCAATAAGCCTATATTCTGGGGTCATAGAAAAGAAGAAACAGAATGATGTTTACCAGGGGTGGTTGGTGCTAATAGCTTTACCATACTGCAGTTTGGGGTTGGAAGAAGACAATTTTTTGGCATTACTTTTAGTAATTTTTTAAGAATCAGGTCAGTGGATATTCTGATATTATAAGAATAATAGCAGATATACTTTATCTAAAAATAAGCATAGCCCACAGACATTCACTGTTCTTCAATACAAAGCTTTTTGAAATTTGAAATGTAGGAATGCATGTCTATCTTCAGTGCTTTTCTTATATTGAAAAGTTTGTCTTTATGCTTTATTTAGTAGTCAGCAGCAAATGTTATCATAGCAATACAGAAAGTTGAGTGTGTCAGAAATAGTATTATAGAAAGTAATGTGAACAAGGTAAAGAAGGTGTTTGCATCAAATACACAGAATCCATTTCCACATTTTTGTGAACCACAAGGAAAAATAAAATAAAAAAGACCTTAAATAATAAGAAATGCATGAGAAACCTCCTTCATGGTCCAAGTCAGAAGATACTTATTTATCTTTTAAAACTTTGAGTGGTCTTACCCATTTTAAATCTATGTCTTGTGTTATATTGACTTAAAAAGCAAGTTATTCTCTCTGGCTTTCTCTCTTGCTCTATCTCATGTTTCTCTCACAGAAAAGGAAGGGTGATTAAAACATTTGGTGTATAAGGGAAATATATTATCTTTGTTAATATGTCTTGGATTTTTATGATAACCTTTTTTACTTAGGGAAAGAATACATGAGTAAATAACATGATAAGGAGAAAAGAAAGATGGAAATTATCCTTGAGTAAAAATCCTTTGAAGATTGTTGTTCCATACATCATAAAACTCTTGATTTCTGTAGATCACATAATAAATTTCAAGCCTTTCCAAAATCATAAAATGTACTTAAACCCTGACCTCCCAATAGGTACTGTGATATCTTTCTGTTCTTAAGCCCTTTTAGAGAATGTGCTGTGATTTGAATTTACTTTCCATTTGTAAGGGGTGAACACTGATCCAAAAACTATATTTGTTCATATAGAGAAAGAGATATGAGGCAAAAAGAAAAAATCTAGGATTCCTGATGAATTAGAGACGCAATGGGAATTTGGAAGCAGTCCCAGATGCAAAGTTGCCTGGACCACTCTCCTCTTTTTAGTCAAGGAAGGTTATGGTAAAATTATAGGTTTAGAGGGGAGCTTTAAGAAATGTCTATCCTTCCTACCAATCCCTTTGTTACAAATGAAGTTCCCAAGGCGTATGGTTCCCTGTTCTTTCAAAATGATTTGCTACTGATGCGTATGGCAACATGCAATGGCCAATGAACCCTCTGAAGAAAATTGTTCATATAACCATTTCCAGATCCTGAAAAACATACAGAAGCCTTTACTGCTGAAAAACTGCTATAGTATTGGGTAAGAATAACATTGTCTGAGGTCTTCTGAGCCTTTTCTGTCTGAAGTCTCCTCAGTTTTGCCAATTGGGCCTGGATAGAGAGAACACCAGTTTTGCTGTCAGAGTCAGTGAACTTGATTTGGGGAGGGAGAGATGAAACTAAAATTGTCAAATTTGATAGGAAACAAACAAGAAAAACACACACCTTTTTCTGGCTTGAAGTTGCAATCTAGGATACAGTAAAGGATGTACTAGTCAAAAATATAATATAATATCCAATACCCTAGAAATGAGAGAGCAAGAGTATGAATAGGAAAGCTCTACACAATTCTTGGCCTGCTAAGAAACTATGTGTACATGCATACGACCGTGAATGAGCCTAGTAGAAAGTAAAAGCCAAAACATATTTGGAAACCCACTGAAGCTTTGAATGTATTTTCCAAACCACACATTGGTAGGAACCTGATGGATTCAAGGTGATTGAGTGCAATACCAAACTATTCAAGCACAAGGATAAGTTCTAGCAAAACACCTAAAAATAAGAACTAAACTTGAGTGGAGATACCAGCAGCCATGCACTGCAGGAAAAATGATTCCACAGTGTAAGTCCAGGCAAGTTACTTAAAAAAAAAAAAAAAGGAGTAATGGTACACAGATTTATGAGTTGCTCTAATATATTATCTAAAATAATCAGTTACAAAAATTATCATGAGACAAGTAAAGAGACATACTCGGGGGAAAATATGATCAATAAAAACTGATTTTGAGTGGGACCAGATGGTAAAATTGATAGACAAAAACTATGATAAAGAACCAGATGAAAATTCTGTAGTTGTAACATTTATTAACTAAAATGAGATATTATGTAGATGGACTTAACAGTAAATTTGAGATGGCAGGAAAAAAAATTAGAGAATTTGAAGGCAAACCAATAAAAGTGACTTAATCAAAGACAAGAGAGAAGAAAGACTGAAGAAAAATGAACAGAGTCTCCTTAGAGACATGAGTAAACCATAGAGTCTATCTGCATACATTTAGTGAGAATACTAAAAAAAAAAAAAGGGGGGGGGGGTGTAGAAAATTGGCCAAAAAAAATTTTTTTTTTTTTTAAGAAATTATAGTGGAAACCTACCAAATATGATGTAAACATTAATTTATAGACCCAAGGAGCTCAACAAAACTCAAGTGGGATAATTATAAAAAGAGTCACAATCTGTTGAAAGACAATGAAGAAGTGAAAAATCTTTAAAAATATAAAAAACAACCTAATGAAAATGGAAACAAATAATAAGATTACTTGCTGATTTATTTTTATTATAAACAATAAAAGCCTAAAGGCAAAAGAAAAAAAAGAACTAATCAAGCAATGATTCTATACCTAGTAAAACTTTCCTTCCTAAATGGAAGTGTAATAAAGACATTCCCAGATAAACAAAAAGTGAAAGAATCCTTTGCTAGTAGACATTCCCTGCGAGAAAAACTAAAGGAAATCCTTCGAGCTGAAAGGATGTAATACTACATGGTAATTGGAATATATCAGAAGGAATGAATAATGCTGGAAATAGTTAACATGAGGGAAAATATAAAAGACTGCATTTATGTGTATTTATACATATGTGTGTATATGTGCATATAAATATAATTAAGAGAAGAAAAATGTGTGTAAATGTAAATATATAGCAATATTGGGAGACTCAATATTGCTATGATGGAAGTTTTCACTGTTGATTTTTAAAAATTCACTAAAATGTTTATTAATTTATTATATTTTAAAAATTCACTTTATTAGTTATATTCTAAATATGTACATGAAATGTTTTGGATCAGAGAGTTTTTTAAATTATATTCCTCACAGTAAATCATAAGTACACATTGATCCTCCTCCTCCACAACCCTTTGACCTGGCTTTTTCCTTTAGGGCAATATTTATGAGAGCCAGGACACTTGTCCTATACAAGTAGCCAGATACCCATAGGCGAAGGATAAGAAAAAACTCATTTTCCCTGTTTATAAAGGCGAGGGAGGCTGCTGCTGTCCCTCCCCCATTTTGGTATACAAAAAAAAAAAAAAAAAAATCTCTTCAGGGACCATATTCCTTTTTTAAAATGCAATTTTACCCCTAGGGTGATAGTGTTCAGATCTTCCTGGTACCTTGGGGCTTAACCTAGAGACCAATGCAAGGATGTAACCATTGGCCTCCTCCAAAAGATAAGGCAATACTGTCATTTTGGGTCAGAGCAATTAGCTAGACAAATAGACAAATGACTACAAATCTGATTCTCATAGGGTATGAGATGTTTCTAGTGGACAGCTTTAAAGCTCTTCTTCTTCTTCTTCTTCTTCTTTTTCTTCTTCTTCTTCTTCTTCTTCTTCTTCTTCTTCTTCTTCTTCTTCTTCTTTTTACATGAAAACAAATTTAGGGAAATTTTCTTTTCCCACACTCCTCAAATTGATCTAAAAATTCAGTGAAATCCATATTAAAATCATAGCAGGCTTCTTTATGAAAATTGACAATTTGATTCTCAAATGTATATGGAAATATAAAATATTTTTAAAAGGAGATAAAAATTGGAGTATTTATACTTATAGGTTTCAAAACTTATAAAGCTACAATTATCAGGACAATATGAAATTAGTATAAGGATAACAATGGAACTGGATAGAGATTCTAGAAATAAACCCTCCTGCTTATGGTAAAGGTGCCAAGGCAACCAGTGGGGAATGGAACAAATGGTGCTATAATAATTATATATATCCACATACCTTACCTCACACCATACACAAAAATTAACTCAAAATGGATCATACTACAAAATATCAGAGCTAAAGCTATCCACTTCTGGGAAAAAACATAGGGGTAATTCTTTGTGACCTTGAGGCAGATTTCTTATGGCATCAAAAGCATGATCCATAAAAAAAAAAAACTCACAAATTGAGCTTCATATAATTTTTAAAACTCTGCTCTTTAAAAGATATCATTAAGAAAAAAATATCCAAGTCATATACTTGGAGAAATACTTGCAGTTCATATATTTCAAAGAGGACCTGTGTCCAGAATATGTAACAATCTTTTATAACTCAATAAGAAAACAAATCATGCAGTTTAAAATGGGCAAACGTTTGAATAGACATTTCACTACAGAAGATACATGAATAGCTAATAAGTGCATGTAAAGATGCTCAGTATTCAAGAAACTAGAAACACCAATCAGAAAGGATATATGCACCCCTATGTTTATAGCAGCACAATCTACAATAGCCAGAATCTGGAAACAGCCTAGGTGCCCGTCAGCTGATGATTGGATCCAAAAACTATGGTACATCTACACAATGGAATACTATGCTGCCATAAAAAAGAAGGAATTCTCATCATTTGCAGCAACCTGGATGGAATTGGAGAACATCATGCTGAGTGAAATAAGCCAATCAATGAAAGAGAAACACCACATGACTCCACTCATTTGTGGATAATAAAGATCATTATAAACTGATGAACCAAAATATAGATATAGAGACAGTAAATCAACAAGCAGATTGTCAAATTACAGCGGGGAGGGGAGGAGGGTCTGGGGGAGATAATAAATCAACCCAAGGACTTGTATACATGCATATAAGTACAACCAATGGACATAAAACTCTGGGGAGGGAGGGGATATGTGGGAGGGAAGGAGGGGGGCAAAAAAAATCAATAAAATATGTAAAAATAAATAAAATTAAAAAAAAAAAGATGCTCAGTGTTATCAGTCTTTAGAGATAAATGTAAACTAACGTCTGTATAACACACCACCATACATCTGTTAGAATGGCTAAGCAGAAAGGCAGACCATACCAAATGTTGATGAGAATTTGGAAAACTGAATCTCTCTTCTATTTCTAATGGGAATATAAAAGACTGTCACTTTGGAAACACTCTGGCAATTTTTTAAAAGTTAAACATACACATGGTAGGCAATTTATGACATAACTCTCAATGGTACCCTCCTGCTGGTGTTCACACCCTTGTGTAATCCCCTCCTCTTGGCTGTGTGTCAGTGGAGTATGGCAAAGATGATGGGATGTCTCTTCTGTAGTTAGGTGACTTCCATCTTCCTTGTAGACTCTCCCTGTGGCTTTTTTGGTTTGCAAGGTTTGGTAAAGCAAGCTTCCCTGGGGGCAATGAAGTGAGGCCCTCAGTCCACTGGCCCACAAAGAACTGAATACTACCATGGCCACCAAGTGAGCCTGGGAAGGGCTCTTTTCTCAGTTGAGCCTCCAATGAAACCACACAGCCTGGGCTGGCATCTTCTGAGAGATTATAAGGTGAGCTCCCAGCTAAGTGTGTCCAGATTCCTGACCCGTGAAAGCTGTGATCAGAAATGTGTGGTGTTTGTGTGGCATTTCCACACAAAGAAATATTGCTCAGCAGTAAGAGGAATGAACCATTGATATATACAACTGTGCCAAATGAAGGAAGCCAGGCACAAAATCTGTGTGTGTGTGTGTGTGTGTGTGTGTGTGTGTGTGTGTGTGTGTATATATATATATATATATATATATATATATATATATATATATATATATATATATATAAAAGCCTAAGTGACCGTCCGACTATTTGACCAGTAGCTATGGTGCACAATTACCACCAGGGGGCCGACGCTCAACATGCAGTCATGGAAACATGGAACAGACTGATGAATCTCAGAGGAAAGAGGGAAGAGGGGAGGGCGGGAAGAGATTAACCAAAGATCTTATATGCATATAAGAGGCCTGGCATGTGGGGATCAGACTGAAACCGGCTGTCCAACATCCCACGAGGGGTCCTGAATTGCATGCGACAGGGCGCAGGCCAGGCCAAGGGACCCCACCAGTGCACAAATGCATGCATGGGGCCTCTAGTTCATATTATATGATTCCACTAATAAGAAATCAATATTATAGAGAAAAAGCAAATCAGGTTTCCTAGGTCTGCCAGTGAGAGCAGGGACTGACTATAAGTGCTTGCCAGGGAATTACAGTGTTCTAAAACTGGATTTGTGATTGGCTAACTGGGTATTTACCAAAAAATTTCAAACTACCATAATTGTGTGTGAATTGTATGCATATAAAGTATACCTCAATACAGCTATAACACATTGATATTTGTATAAGAAAATATAGTTTTAATCTCCATTTATTGTACCATTCTGTGTGCTCTAATCTTTACAGGTAAAAGGTGCTAATTTTGTCTAATTTATGTTCTTGTGCTGACCCTGCCCATTTTGGATTTCCTTTTGGCAGTTGGGCACAAAGATTTGATTATGAGGGGCTATAACATCTCAATGTTATAGATGCCTCTTTGGATCATTTCACTTTTCTAATTTGTCATGTTCTTTTCTGTAACCTCATTTATCAGTTATGACTAGCACCTTCTAATGCTTGTTAGGCCAGGGCTACTGAGAAGCAGTTATCACTTTAAATTATATTAATAGAGGGAAAGACAGTGGGTAGCCTCAGACTTTAAAAGTTTGTAGATCCATTCAATTATTTTCTTTTATTAACTTGGAGAAATAAATTGATTGTCAGTTTCTTTTTATTTGGCAAGAAATTAGTAAAGAGAAAGGTGTTATGCATTTATTTTCCTCCTGTTAGGCATATCTGTATCTCCCAGCTTCATTTCTAAATGTGGAAAACAAGCAGTGATTTGTTCCTACTGTTTTTTTTTTTTCTTTTGTTGGGGCCATTGTGGGATTATCTGAGAACTGAATTGGTAGTAAGTTTCTCCTAGAATTTCCTTACTGCCAACAAACTATCAGAGAGCCTTGCTAAAAAAAAAAAAAAAAAAAAAAATATATCACACAATATATGAATTCCCTCAGCTAATATTCAAAACATTCCCAACTCAATTAGACCTAACTCCAGCATATTTTTGCTATCTCACCGTATTTTCCTTTTAAAATTTTTAACTCTGAGTGCTTAGAATTTTTAAAGTGAAATTCAATGGCCATACCAAACGTTGGTAAGTGTGAAGATTCTCCCCATTCATTACTTTGAAGCCTTCCTCATAGGTACTATGGTTTGAACACTCATATGAGCAGGTTATGTGTGCCACCACTGCACACAGGAGGCTGGGGAGCTAAAGCACAGGGGGTGTGCCAGGCCTGTGCAGTGGGGTCCAGCTTCATAAATTTTAATGAAGGTATTCTGGGAACTATTCACAAGAGTTTAAATATTTATAAAAAAATTAAGCTAAATTTAATAAAATATTAGTCTAGAGAAGACTCGTTCTTAAAATGTATCATTTCTAGTTTTACTGAGGTCTAGACTCTTAGTATTTCTAACCCGTGAGTTATTATATAACACAGGCTGTAGAAATGTATAAACAAGATGAACAGTGACAGAAGATGGATGCTTTCTTTAGAGCAAACAAAACAAGATCTGGTATCAGTTTGCTTCCAAACCCTGTAAGCTACTTATTCAGTCTTGTCCATCTAGGCCATACATGATTCTACTTAAATTTCATTTCTTAAGTTTAGAGGATTTTGAAATGATAATACAAATACTTTTTAGGCATTAAAAAGTTTTGGGTTATACAGAATGTCCATTTACACTTCTGGTACCAGATGAGATATCCAGGTAGGAGGTGAGTGAGTCACTTAGCCTCACATTCCCTCCTCTGAAAGACACCAGCATTCCTAATGAGCTGTCAGCAGGAGACAAGCAAAGGGGGCTCTGAGAATGTCCTGCCCCTCCCAGCCAGAGTACCTATAGACGGACCTGGGAAATAATTTTTTTCTGCCTTTTTGCAGAAGTCCTAATAGGAACTGAAAGTACCAAGCAAACCTTCTATATTTATTAAATGTGGGTGAGGAATCTCCCATAGAGGCACAAAGTGATGCATTTGGGATATTAAAGTACCTGGAGACACACAGGCTACAGGGAGAGGAGACGTTTTAGTGGAACAGATTTTCCTTCTTGCTTCAGATTCCCATAACCAATACCAAATATTGAAGGAATGCAATCATTCCATGCATTCACATGCTGTCCTGGGACAAAGTTGTTCTCAATGAAGGAGTGAGCATAATTCTCCTTTCTTCCTACAGGCCCGGCCCGTGGATTACCCTGAGGACTACCTTTCTCACCAGGTTCCCATATCCTTCCATAAACACTGGAACAGTGACCCATTGAAGGTTTATGTCACATGGTTGGCACCCAGCAAGGAAGACAAAGCCAGCCCAGAGATACGAAAAGGCTTTAAAGATGAGTTATAAAGCCTGGGGACCTAGGAACATAAACAGAAGCCAAGACTTTGGCTTCCGCCTGTGTGCTGTCCATGTGCTACTTGGCATATGCCACAGAAGCTTCCTGACTCTTGGTGGAAATCCTGTATGTGGTATTTTTTGAGGGGGAGAAAACAGAATCATAAAGGAATTTTTTTTTTCCTGGAAAAATCACTTGCTTTTGCATTGTGCATTGTTGTGCTATATAATGATTTCTGTGTGGTATTCAAGCTGTGACACAGCAGCTTTATTTCTATCATGGGAAAATAAATAGCACCAGAAGTCTCCTTTCTGCTCCTTCTCTTAATTATAATGAAGCTTTCAGTGGGCATGAGACCAGAGAGGTGACTGTTTATCATTCTGTATGTGTGTGTGTGTGTCTGTGTGCGCATGTTTGTGTGGAGAGAGAGAGAGAGAGAGAGAGAGAGAGAGAGAGAGAGAGAGAGAGAGAGAGAGAGAGAGAGAGAGAGAGAAAGAGAGAGAGAGAGAGAGAGAGAGAGAGAGAGAAGGAACATTGATTAACATGGATATTACCATATTGTGAACTTTTAACTGTATTGTTGATGATGAAAATTATTCGTTGATTACTTGATAGGAATAATGCCATACTAAGGATGATTCATAAAATATCTTAAAAAGTCCTGCTATGAAATTCCCTGTGGTCTATAATCAGGGTTGTTATGTTTTATCTCTTTTTCTGTTTGTGCCTCATAAAAAAAAAGAAGTCTTCTTTGGGAACTTTTAACTTCTTTATTGGTTCTTCTGTGTCCTGTTTCTCCCTGAAGCACTATCTTTTGTTACCTGCTTGTAACAGGAAAATGTGCTGGCTGCTGCCAGGAAACTGTGTCCTCAATATTTAAAAACAAAGTTGTCATGTTTTATTTAAATCATTGAGCTCTGTGTAAGTCTCCAAAAGTGAATTAAATTAATTTGTACCTGATGTTCTGCTCTTATTTTTCTTTAAATATTACTTAATGACTCTCTCTTAACTCAGAATAGGTATCACTTCTAAGGTACCCTATTGTGAGGACAGCATGATGATTTGCCAATTTTCCTGGATTCTTAAAGAATAAAATTTGAACATAATATTGTGAAACAGCTTTAATTTTCAAATTATATCTTTAATATATAGTAACATATTTACTATTAATTTGTAAAAAGTACTCTGTCATATGATGTTTTAATTACATAATTCCATTTTCTAAAGATATGCGCAGAAAATTTGACTTCTATACATCTTAAACTAATTTTGGTATAGCAAAGTAGTTATTTTCTTTTTTAAAAATAAAAATTGCTATTTGTTAATTTTTCTTATAATGTTTATATAGCCAAGCATAGATTTTAAAGCCATACTATCAAAAGTCCCCAGGTGTGTATGCTTTTTAACAATATATTTCTCTTGTAGCTTAGATTTCACTCATTTCCAAAATGATACCAGAGGATTTATCATTTTTCCAAATCAAGAAATACCTGTGTATTTTCAGTGTCACCTGAATGTATTGCATTTATGTTTTCTTAAAGTGGATTTTGTGGTCTGCTGAAGAAATGGATCAGGGACAAATGATCTGCTGGGTAGAAGCACCCAAGGAATTTATAGATCTCGTCAGCTGCTGCTGATGAATTCAGCATTGTGTTGTAGTTTGATTATTGTCATTGCTACCATCATGGTCACCTTCGTGCCATTTGTAATAATACTCCTGGAGGCCTAGCTGCCTAGCCCAGTGGAGAACAGTCTTCAGTTTTTTCTGTGCCTGCCTACCAGTTGTCACTCTTGGAAAAGAGCATATTCACTTGATAGGATCAAACTGGCCTTGGAACATAAAGACATATGTTGCACTTCCTCTGTTATAATCAGTGCCTTCTCTTTATACCAGAAAACTTCATCTGGTACCTTCAGGCCCTTTGTGAATTTTGTTTACTTTTTGGAACTATGTAAGCCTTACCTCAAATAAAATGTTTTTGCCTAAGGTTCTGATTTCTCAAATGCATTTATTAGTTCAACCTAGGACCAGAGCTCAGAAAGAGCCAGGGGAAGGGATTAGAGAACTCAGAGAAAAAAGGTGGCAGTTCATAATGACAGTTTTCAGAGAGAAATATTAATAATAAAAACCTATCCCTTTAAGAGGAAACCAGTAGACATTTGAAAATGTAGTGATACAGAGTCTATAAAACCATGATCTATATTATATAATGAATTGGAGATGCTGTTTGGGAAATTGCCATAGAGTTCATATCTTAGGAATAAGTTTTTTATCTGAACTTTCCAGTAAAGATATTGTTCTATTCCTACTTCCTTTGCCTTTTTAGTAAAAATTTACTTCCAAAAGGCTATTTTTATTGATATATGGAATATCAACCTCAAGGTGTTGTATGTGGAATAACTGGAATATTTTATTTCCTCTAAGTTATTTCTCTGTGGCCAAAGCTAGTTGTCTGACTATACAAGATGTTGTACATCTTGCAGATAAGTAAGAATTGTAGGACATTTGGAAAATATATAAAAATATAAGGGAGAAAATTTAAATTGCCCATATGGTACACCCAGATATAATCACCATTAGCATTTGGTGTAACTTTTTTTGAGTTTTTATTTTTTTTTATTTTGAAGGAATATTTAATATTAACATTGTGAGTTATTATCTTTTGCATATCAAGTTACACATTTCAAACAAATCGTCATTTATATTTACAGTATACAAATGCAAAGCACTAATTTACCACTAAATCATCCCTTCCTTAAAATGGTACATGTGATGTTATGAAATTAGCTATTAAGTATTCAAAGTAGTGGAAAAGAGGTCCTTTCTTCAGTCTTTTTTTTTTAATATATATATTTTTATTTTTTATTTTTGCCCCCCTCCCTCCTTCCCACACATCCCCTCCCTCCCCAGAGTTTTATGTCCATTGGTTGTACTTATGTGCATGTATAAAAGTCCTTCGGTTGATCTATTATCTCCCCCAGATCTTCCTCCCCTCCCCGCTGTAATTTGACAGTCTGCTTGTTGATATACTGTCTCTATATCTATCTTTTGGTTCATCAGTTTATAATGTTCTTTATTATCCACAAATGAGTGAGGTCATGTGGTGTTTTTCTTTCATTGACTGGCTTATTTCACTCAGCATGATGTTCTCCATTTCCATCCAGGTTGCTGCAAATGATGAGAATTCCTTCTTTTTATGGCAGCATAGTATTCCATTGTGTAGATGTACCACAGTTTTTTGATCCAATCATCAGCTGACGGGCTGTTTCCAGATTCTAGCTATTGTAGATTGTGCTGCTATGAACATAGGGGTGCATATATCCTTTCTGATTGGTGTTTCTAGTTTCTTGGGATATATTCCTAGGAGTGGGATTACTTGGTCAAATGGGAGTTCCATTTTCAGTTTTTTGAGGAAACTCCACACTGTTCTCTACAGTGATTGCACCAGTCTGCATTCCCACCAGCAGTGCACGAGGGTTCCTTTTTCTCCACAACCTCGCCAACACTTGTTGTTTGTTGATTTGTTGATGTTGGCCATTCTGACAGGTATGAGATGGTACCGCATTGTGGTTTTGATTTGCATCTCTCAGATAATTAGTGACTTTGAGCATGTTTTCATGTGCCTTTTGGCCTTCCTTCTGTCTTCTTTTGGAAATATTCTATTTAGGTCCATTGCCCATTTTTTAATTGGATCATTCATCTTTCTTTTATTTAGTTGTATAAGCTGTTTGTAGATGTTGGAGATTAAACCTTTATCAGTGGTAACATTTGCAAATATGTTCTCCCACACAGTGGGCTTTCTTGTTTTGTTGATGGTTTCTTTTGCTGTAAATTACCAGCAAAAGCTTTTTATTTTGATGTAGTCCCATTTGTTTATTTTCTCTTTAGCTTCCATTGCCCTAGGGGCAGTATCAGTGAAGAAGTTCTTTTGGCATATGTCTGAGATTTTGCTGCCCGTGGATGCTTCTAGTATTTTTATGGTTTCCCGTCTGATGTTTAAGTCCTGTATCCATTTTGAGTTTATTTTTGTGTATGGTGTAAGTTGGTGATCTAGTTTCATTCTTTTGCATGTATCTGTCCAATTTTCCCAACACCATTTATTGAAGAGACTGTCTTGACTCCATTGTATATTCGTGCCTCCTTTGTCAAATATTGATTGAGCATAGTGATTTGGGTTGATATCTGGGTTCTCGATTCTATTCCATTAATCTATATGTCTGTTCTTGTGCCAGTACCAGGCTGTTTTGAGAACAGTGGTTTTGTAATACAGCTAGAAGTCTGGTATTGAGATCCCTCCTACTTTACTCTTCTTTCTCAGGATTGCTGTGGCTATTCGGGGTCTTTTATTTTTCCAAATGAACTTTTGGAGAGTTCTTTCTAGGTCAGTGAAATATGCCATTGGTATTTTAATGGGGAGTGCATTGAACCTATAGATTGCTTTAGGAAGTATGGACATTTTGATGATGTTGATTCTAGCAATCCATGAACATGATATGTTCTTCCATCTGTTTACATCTTCCTCTATCTCTTTTTTCAGTGTCGTGTAGTTTTCCACATATAGGTCCTTTGCTTCCTTAGTTAAATTTATTCCTAGGTATCTTAATTCCGTTGGTAAATGGAATTGCTTTTTTAGTCTGTTTCTATAAATTTGCTGTTGGTGTATAGAAATGCCATAGATTTCTTGGTGTTAATTTTGTATACTGCTACATTGCCAAATTCATTTATTAAGTCAATTAGTTTTTTAATGGAGTCTTTTGGGTTTTTTTATGTACTATATCATGTCGTATGCAAATAAGGATAGCTTTACTTCTTCTTTTCCAATTTGGATGCCTTTTATTTCCTCCTTTTGTCTAATTGCAATGGCTAGTACTTCCAGTACTATGTCAAAGAGGAGTCGTGAAAGTGGGCATCCCTGTCTTGTTCCTGTTTTTAGAGGGAATGGTTTCAGTTTTTGCCCATTGAGTATGATGTTGGCTGTGGGTTTATCATATATAGCTTTTATTATGTTGA